CTTGAGGGGAAGTTGCGTTGTAGGTAAATGGTTTAGACAAACGAATTTCAATCAGCTGTCGATAATGTAACACGCTGATAAAAGTACGGAAAACTAAAAATTATTAGGTCGCCTTGTTCTCTTACCTACGTTGGCGCGTAAGACATATTTAACAGCGCAGACGTTAATTTCTAAGCGACTCATACACGATAAATTGTTATTGTAAAGGAAGCCTCAGGAAATGTATTAGTATTTTTTAACAGTTAGGAAACTGAAATGTAAATATGTTTTTCCTATTCCTGAATAATAAAAGTAGATTTCGGCGCGTTAAAAAATTGCTTAAGGAGCTAAAAAATTTCTGGCTGCAATGAAAAATAGCGTGCCACCACAGACCGACAGCCGCTATTTAATGTTAAAATTTTGAAAAATTTGACAAAATCAGACGACATGTCGTCACTTTAACCGGAACATTTCGGCTTTGTTTAAAGATAATATTTTGACCTTGGGCTCATTTCATAGCAATAATCGCTGCTAAAGTTTCAATTGCTAATTTGACACTGTTCCCACTCGTAGAATAATTTTGAAGAAATACCATTGGATTGCTTGAATTTTAACCTGTAAAATAAGTTTATCGAAATAATAGAGAAATTTTGGTAACATGGGATATAAAATAAAGTTTACCATGATACTATCTGTTCGCCTGTTTATGGTGTCTGCGCGACGTAAACTTAATTTTTTCTCGAGCGCTTGAAAATATCATTCCGGTCAATTATCGACTGCTCATCTATTTACCGACTGCTCGAACGATACCCGATCGACATCTATTGTTCATAGAAGAGTAAGTGCGATAGCTTTATTCTATCCCTATTGGCTGACTATAAGGGAAGACCTAAGAGTAACTGCGATAGCCTCATTCTATCCCTATTGGCTTCCTAACAGCGAGCCGTCGCAAGTTCCCCTACATCTCCCACTTTTAGGCCCTGCGTGACGTCAGAGGCTTCACTTTAGGTTTGTCCGACTATAGTTTTGTATTTAGTGGACTGTATATTTGATTGAAAAACGAAACACCACACTTTATGTTTTAAACCTTGTATATTACAAATATGTGTTGTGTGGCTGTCTGTGTATCTACATGTATGTTTGCTTGTCGTCTCTAATTATATTTGCTCTAAGGGTGGCTGTGTATGCTGTTTTATAACCTTGGTGTCTGTTTCTGATTCGTTTTTAAGTTGCGTGGGAGGTGGTTCAAGTGTGTCGATTGGTCTCTTGTGTTTTCGGGGGTGATGGTGTTGTCGAAGGAGTAGGGAAATTATTGCAAACTATTCGTTATATTGCGATACAGTAACGGTATTCCGGTCGCCAGGTAGTTTCAGCGCGAGTGGTGTCCAGATGTGCGAGTTTTCGTCTTCGATTTTTGGACACGTCTGTAAGAAATGCGAGATTTCGGCGGCGAAGTGGTGGCCTGGACTTTGTCACCCAGGAAGAGAAAGCGCCATAAACTAAGCCCTTTCCCCGGAAAGTCGAACGAGGGGGCTCCAACGGTTTTTCGGAACAACGCGGGATACGACGCGGAGGGGACACTCTTAACCCTTTGCACTCGGAGGTCATTTTGTAACAGAAAAGTTTGCAAATCGAATGTTTGAAATTTTTTAAAATTAACGCAGAAATAAACTATACTATTTTATTTAAATATTCATCGTATTCTCCATTTCACTCTCCGCAGATCTGCTCTCTGACTTGATTAATTATTCACCAAGTGACGATTGTTTAATGTCGCTTCTCAGTCACTACTCGATTACAAAGGGTTAATATAGCCGTAAAATTAACGCAGAAATAAACTATACTATTTTACTTAAATATTCAACGTATTCTCCATTTCACTCTCCGCAGATCTGCTCTCTGACTTGATTAATTATTTACCAAGTGACGATTGTTTAATGTCGCTTCTCAGTCACTACTCGATTACAAAGGGTTAATATAGCCGCCGAGCGAGACGGACACCCGAGTACCTTAGCAATACATTTTTTCCCCACATAATACAATACATTTTTGGTTAATAACCTATCCTGTGTTACATTTATTCAAGTTGTGCTAACACGTCATAAACTCATTGTCCTATGGTCTTTTCAAAACTGTTTGGCCGTTTATGACCGAACAAAGGAGAATTAAATTGTACGAGATATTCGATGCAGTTTTCTTGGTAGCGATAGATAGAATTCTAAGGGAAGTTTAAATTGAAGAAAGTTTCGCCAGATGTAATATTTCAGTGTCTCAGTTTGGGATTATTTTCGAGTGGCAATTTTACAGCGGGGATATTTGATTGGCTAATTTTTGGTGGCAAGGTGATCAATTTTCAGGGTGCTTGAAATGGTAGCTAATTAGAAAGGAGCAAATGAATTAAGGAAGGTAGAAATTCGGAGAAACTGGATCCTGGAACAGTTGCCAAAAACTTTGGAAATAGGTCAAAGTGTCTGTACCTTGAATTTCATCGTGCTTTATTAAATACTAGCGTTCGATTGACGAGGATCTTTTGGCAATTCTGGATGAATCGAACTTTTTACAGCGTCTGTTTTCCACAAAACAGTTTTCCATAAAAATTCGAAAAATGTAAATTTGAAAGAGATTATGAATCAACAATACAAATGTTTGTTATACTTTTTCATATCCCACGAAATCACATATTAATTTTTCCATAGAAATTCAAAAAATTTGAAACTTTGCAAATTTGAATAAATCCAATTAGAGATTATGAATCAATAATACAGATATTTATTAAATTTTTCATATTCTGCGAAATCATACTTTAAGTTTCCCCCAAAAAATTCGAAGAGTGTCGAAAATATTTTCTGGCCCAAAGTACTTATCGTTTCAGTTACTCCTAATATTTTATCCGACATTTACCTTTTTGTCAAATTAAATTTTTTTCAAATATTTATTACAATTCTTCATGTTTTAAGTTTCCCACACGAATTGGAAAAAGCGCAAACCTCCGTAAATCCGAATAAATTCCATTAGAGATTACGAATCCCAATAATTTCCATTGCTTTCGTTCAAGTTCCCGCGTTGGATGACATCGACGACGATCGTGGACTTGGCTCGGCCACTATCGCGACTTACACCTGGCCAGGTTGCAACGAAAAAATATGTTAAGATCGAAATGGCGTGCGTCATCAAGACCGTGATAAATTCCCGAGAAAATAATGCCGCCATCATTTTTCTCACGAGTCACAGTAAATCGCGTTGCACTCGAGCCTCGAGCCACGTTTCTTTCTTCCAGCTTGCCGAACCTATTACGAGGGATATTGCTTCGTAGCTTTGGACACGATTAACCCGGTTCGTTTAAATAGTTACGCAAATAATACATTTTGACATTCGAAACATCAAATTCTCGTTATCTCCACTTTTCTCTTTTCCCATCGTTTTATAGTTTCACGAAGTATGCAATCTTAATTTTCTTATTTTTCTTTATCACTTTTCTATTTGACGAAATTTGAAATATCACGAAAGAACGAAATGTCTCTCGTTATCGAGCCTCGTCTCCTTATCACGCTAGATTATCCACGAATTCCTTGATCTATGGATGAAAACAGCTATCAGTGTACAACTCGAATGTCATGTACAGTGGATTCCGGTTAATTGGGACACATTGGGACCGGACTAATTGAAGATTCAATAGAGTAAAGACGTTTCCTCTGAGACCGTAAATAAATCGTATATTACAAAGTGTAAAGACTATTTCATTCCACAACCCATTTCCAATATTTTGCATTTTCTATCTGTATATAACACGAGCAGGTAAATGAAGATGTTAAAGACCTCAATGAGACCTTTACTTGTAACCGTACTTCCAAAAGCGGCTTCCCCCAGAGGGAGAAACCCTAATTTGTCCTAGCTGCATGCAGTTTTCAGTAAATATATTAGAATCAGTTTGACTTTCGCTGGATACAAGAATTCTTTGTACGGTCCTGACCATGGTTTCAAGTACTTATCTGCTCGTATTTCTGTCAATTTCGGGGTCCCGGCAGCTAAAACATGTTTACTTTGACACCTAACCGATTTTACGACCTCGCTACATCGTGGCCCCGACTATATGTAATATTCGGTCTTGAATACAAATGTGTGTTTAACCGTTTGAGTGCCACGAGCCTTTCTTATTTCCCGATCGAGAATTGCCAAACGGCACGATTGCGCTTGTTATATTCCGCGTCCAAAAATGCCAAAGAGCGCGATTGCGCTGTTTTCAGCTTACATGTAATAAATATTTCCTACAGTTAGTTTTGTTCCGACAGTCTCCTGAGCATCAGGTCTTAGTGACATCAGTGCAGCCTAGAGCGCTGGCGCTTTTAGGACAGGATAGAAGAAGCGCGATCGCGCCGCTTGGCACTCAAACGGTTTAAGCATGCAACAATAAGTAATAAAATAACATTAATAAATACATAAACACGTATTTATATTCCGTTCTTCAGTATCTGTCCCAAATAAACAGCGGGTCCCGCTTAACCGAAATCCACTGTATATATAATTTAAGCTATTTAGCCTGTTTATCACTTAAAAGAAAAACAAGTAAAATTTGTTACTTTTTTATCTGTTTCAGGACTGTTGAAGTGTTATTGCGATATTTGCGTGGAAACCAATCACACGTGCGAAACCGATGGCTATTGTTTTGCTAGCACCAGCTTGGAGAACGATGTACGCACATACGCTAGGAGGTAACGTATTTTGCATGGGTATTTACCATCAGAGTGATTCTTCACTGACCGAAATAAAAAAAAAGAAGAAAATTCTCGATCGTCGTTTATAGGTATTACAGAAAAATTGGTTTCTTTTTGCAATAATTATCACAGAAACGACGTAATTTAGAGAAGAATCGTTATTAATTCGACCAGTCGGAGAAATATTTCGACTGTTACAAATCGATTAAATCGGGAATTATCACGGGGACTATTCGCGAAACGCGGTGATTGATAATATTCGGTTAAAACGGATCCTCGATTGAAACAATGTAAATTTCTACTTTGAACCACGTCGAATGATAAATTTCACGGTTAACGTTGATTCACACCGTGTGTCACAGAACGAACAATGTACAATATAGATGTTGAACGAACGGTAATAAATATTGATTTCCACCGCACGCATCTACGGAAGTGAAACAACATTTGTTTGACGTAATCACGTTATCTGAACATATAGAAGCGGCAATATCTGTCGGCGTTTTATCGCGGGAACAGTTGAACAATGTGTCCCGAGACCGGGGCACCGAGTATCCGGCAAAAATGATGTTTCAACTTAATTTCAGCGTTAATTGGACATTATTGAGGAATAAATCATGGAGAAGGCAGTAAAAGTGGAGGGCGAGCAAGCAGCGGGTAGTGTAGCGCCGATGAAAAATTCTTCTTGTTTATCGTTTATGCCCACCGTGAAACGCACCGTGTAAAACGTATAAAAATACACCAGATAAGAATTATCGTTCTTACATAATTGCGGTTTTAAATTACGCCCCGGTTTTTATCACGCCGCGTAACAGATCCATCCGGCGCTGAAACATTTTCTGAATCGGCGGCCGCTCGGTTGTACGAGTAACTGTGAAATGGATGTCTAGAGAGTTTCAAGCAGTTCGAAAGAGTTGGACTGGGTCGTTCGTTTGGAAAATTTACGAATTCGATTTCTGTGAATTGCTCGGAGTACTCTGACAAGACGAATTTGATTTTTGAAATTTCGAAGTCTCAAGTAACGAAATTTTCAACTGAAATTTTCGAATATCGACATTTCAAATTCAAACTTTCGAGTATAAAATAAGATATTCCAAATTCAAATTTTCAAATGTAAGATATTCCAAAAATTAAAATTTTCAAATGTAAAATATTCCAAAATACAAATTTTCGAATGTAAGATATTCCAAAATCTAAATTTTCAATTGCAAAATATTCCAAATTCAAATTTTCAAATGTAAAATATTCCAAAATTAAAATGTTCCAAATTTCAGTATTTCCAAATGTAAGATATTCCAAATTCAAATTTTCAAATGTAAGATATTCCAAATTCAAATTTTCAAAGGTAAGATACTCCAAAATTCAAATTTCCAAGTATCAAAATTTCAAACTCCAATTTAAATGCAAATTGAAACTTTCCAATGTCGAACTTCGAATTCGAAATTTTCCGAACACACCTAACGAGGTCTTGAATTTAATCGAATAAAAGTAGCGTTACGAACACAGCTTAACGCTCGAAACGGCTGAATATTTCGAGTATTCGGACAATTCTGATTCCCCGAGCTGCTTCGATCGCGTTCACCGCGAAAGGAAGTTCAACAGTCCCGTTCTGTTACCGATCGATTCCCTCGTTGTAGTTTCCAGGAACGTTTAACCGCTTTTTTCAGTTGGCCCTGCGAGGCATGATTAGCGTCTGTTTCGGGAGTTTCGACGGAAACGAATTATTGTTGTTGGCCGGTGGTCGCGTTGGTAACGCTTCATGTGGCCACGTTTTCGCATTTCTCGTCCCTCTACCAACGAAATTCGTGGGAACACAACAAGGCACACTCGATCCCTGCTCCACACGATTCTTTATTTATTATTAATATTATTATTATTAGTTTTTCATTTTCAATTAACGCGTGGGGGTAGCCATCTTTTTTCAGCAAACCGAGGAGAAAGGATTTGAGAAAACTGTTATTCATCTGTAATGATTGTTGCTTCGAAACTTTCTGTCCCTTTACCTTTCAGCTGGGTAGACATTTCGCGATCAATTGATTCCGTTTTCACCGCGTCGAATAAAAAGATTCCGATATAATTGGGCGGAAATTTCAAAGGTCTCCTCGTCGGTGCGGATAATAAAACTAGAAAAATGATTGTGTAAATATTGATATTCGATTGTGCAAACGAAATAGAACTTTCTTTATTATCGATTAAACTGTCTATCCAATTGTGAGACGTAAAACTTTTTATTATGGCTCGAGTAATATAAAGGATGAAATGATATCAGTTTCGAAGGATTGCGGATATTAACAAAAGTGGTATATAAAATATTTCTTCTTCTAGATCAATTTAAAAAAAAATATCACACGTTGTATTTACAGATTCTCAAAAGTATCGTAAAACATCATCGAACGTTTAAATTTTCTCAATTAACCCCTTAACATATGACAACGTGTCAGACACGTGGCAGAGATTCTAGCGAAGATGTGAGAAAAATAGTTATATTAGTAAGAAAAATTCATTGTAATCCTAATTTTCGTTTGAATTTGTAAGACCGAGGATTGCTAAATGTAATTAATCTGTGACAGATTAGTTTTCGTTACCTGATGCAGTACTAAAACAAAAAATGGCTGACGCTTAGATGCATAGTCAGAAAAGAAATCATATGTTAAGGGGTTAAAGAAAAAAAGTAAAGATTCTCCCTTCAAACGAACGGAGAAATTTCCTAAAGAAGAAGATTCTCCTTTTAATATTAAAGAAACGATTGGAGTGTAATGTTATTGTTCCACGAAGATGTATGCACAGAAATGAATCGTGAATGAATAGAATTTGCATCGACGTAGAATACATTACTGGCTGTGTATGGCTCGTTTAACGAGCTTCCACGCAAATTGTATACAAGGGAGTATGATACGACACGCAGTTTCGAAATCGAACGAAATCGACCGTGACGACGATATGCGACAGTCTGAGGTCGCAGACGTGCGGACGGGGCCTAAATGTTTAATGCCCCAGACGGATAATTCGGATAATTCAGCCCCGGAGAGATCGTATCGAAAATAGCACGACCAAGATTATTTGATTGGTCGAGACGTAAAAGCGGTACAGGACAATTTCCTTTCTATCGAACGATTACAAAGTGACGCGGTTAATCCGCGAATCGTATGAAATTTTCGTTATACTTGGTTCTCCTTTTTTAAAACCGGTTATACTTACGAATTCATTCCCCCGGCCGTCCATTACATTTCGCCGCTCTTTCAGCTTTTATGTTTAGTTAAATTCTTTATTGCGACACTTTTAATTGCAGTTAGATCGGCACGAGTGTAGCTTCACTTTCTGAAAAGAAAATGTACACCTGTGTGTATTTCTTCTTTGAACTTTTATTTTACTATAATTTTCATAACCTTTGTGCAATTTATTTTTATTATTATTTAAATAGAAATACGGAATTTGCGTTTCATCTTATACTACCGAGAAGATTTCTCAATCCCTTGACTTGTGATTTTTTTTTACAGACGTAAACGTGAGCTGTTTATTACTTTAATACTGTGCGAAGTAAGAAAATTACTATATTAAACATTATTTGCAATTTGATAAATCTCTCAGTTGTAAAATTCAAAATTTAACTTAGAATTGATTTTTTTTGTCTTGACCAGAATCTGTACCACGAATTTGATTCGTTGTTAAATAAATAATATTTCGTTGCTTCACTCTTTTATAAAAAAAAGAATAAAATATACAAAATTACTATATCTTTCGTAACTTCTGTATAACTTATTACTTTCACTATTATTTACATTAAAATATGGAACTTGTGTTTCACCTTGTACCACCGAGCAGACCTCCTACTTAAAAAAATGTTCTAAATTAATTCCTCACCGGTCCACTATTTCATCAAAAAGAAGATAAAATAAAATGTATAAATTCGTATACCTCGACTACGGGATCACCTTCAGAAATATAAAAGCTGATATAACCTCAAACAACCCCTAACGAACTTCATTCCACTTCACTATTCACACTGAGCCAACGGCGAAAAAAAAAGGAAGAAAAATATCCCCACACAATTTCATTCTCCACGTAAAATAGCAGGAAATTGCTTTCAATGCCGATCTAACTACCCGAATCCCGCGACCACCCATCGACAGTCGAACGGGGGGCGCGTGATACGTTCGAATAAAAGCTGTATTTTATCGCGTGCGAATTGCCCAGGAAGATTAGTCGGTTGAGTTGAAGGATAAACGGTGAAAAATCGCGCTCGCGGGTTAATGCATCGGCGTCGAACGAACTGTTGAAACTAAACGTGGCATTGTGTGGTGTTGTGAAAAGGTGCCTCGACCGAAAGCAATGGTTCCCACCGGAAGAACCGCGCTCCTGCAACAGTAAGCCGGGCATCTATCGGTCCAGCATCTGCTGCGATAAAGAGTACTGCAACCTGAATTTATATCAGGTCTTACTATCTCCCGACTCGCCTGAATTATCCTCAGGTATTCTTTTTCTCGCTGTTTCGACCAGCCCCACCTCTCGACCATTCCATCTTTACCTCTTCTTCTTATTTCGTTTCACTCTAATCTCTTGTTTTTTTTCCCTTCTCCCCCCTTTCTTTCTTCCTCCTTGTTTAATGTCGTTTTTCTTTTATTATTGTTATTAACACCTTATCGACAAACGACGTTATTTTTGACTAGATTTTTGTGAAGGGAATTTTATTCTATATTTTTGACCTACATTTTCTTTTCTGCGGTTTTACCGCGATTTCGCGTATGGTTTGTGTAATTGAACGGGCGAGAGGAAAAGGGGAAAGATTCTGTTAAATCTGATTTGCAGATAAAATAAAGTAATTCCCAAGCGAGGATTTTTAAATAATGTGAGTAGATAAGGAAATTTAGTAAGCAGCTGTATTTATGAAGTTAGTTTTATCCAAAATTATAGTAACAATTACCAAGCGAGAATTTTTAAATAATTTTGGTAAACAAGTGAAATTTAATAAACAACTATATCAGTTTTTTCAATTACCT